GCCTCATCGTTGGCAGTACTTCTACTCCTCTGGAACTGGCAGGTTGCGAAGCCAGCTACCGAGACCCCGCGACGGGTCTGTGCCCTTCTTCTCAGAAGATGAGAAATCCTTCTATGTGGATTGGTATTTTCTGTGGTGGTATCCTCACTGTGTTACTCATGATGTACCGGGTTAAAGGTGCTGTTATCGCCGGAATCTTGCTTGTCAGTATCATCTCTTGGCCACGAGGCACCGACGTCACATACTTCCCCTACGACACTCTTGGTGACGACCGATTCGACTTTTTCAAGAAGGTTGTCGACTTCCACCAGATTAAGCGTACGCTTAACGTTCTCCAATTCGACATTTCTGGCCACAGTGGTCAATTTGGTTTGGCGCTCATCACCTTCTTGTATGTCGACATCCTGGACTGCACAGGTACTCTATATGGTATGGCACGTTTTGCCGACCTTGTCGACCCGGTCACCCAGGATTTTGAGGGTTCCTCGATTGCGTATATGGTGGACGCTCTCAGTATTTCCATCGGCGCTGTTCTCGGTGTGCCTCCCGTAACTGCTTTTGTCGAGTCTGGTGCTGGTATTTCCGAAGGTGGTAAGACTGGCATTACCGCCATGGTTGCTGGAATTTGCTTCTTCATCTCCATCTTCTTTGCCCCTATCTTTGCATCCATCCCACCATGGGCCACTGGATGCGTTCTGATTCTTGTCGGTTCTATGATGGTTGGTGCTGTGACAGAGATCAACTGGAAGTATATGGGAGATGCTGTACCAGCTTTCCTCACCATTGCCATCATGCCTTTTGCATACTCCATTGCCGATGGTCTGATTGCTGGTATTTGTACCTACATGGTTATCAACACCGTCGTCTTGCTTGTCAAGGTCATCTCTGGAGGTCGTATCGTGCCCCCCAACTACGAGGAGAGAGACGGCTGGACCTGGCGCATCCCCGGTGGTTTCTTGCCTCCTTGGATGAACCGACTAGCTCATGGCAAGAAGGACTTTTGGCGTGAGGATAACCCACCTCACAACACCAACAACGAGACAATCGTCAACGATACAGCTGTTCCCAAAGAGAACGGTTCTGATCATGGCGGATCCGAAGGTGGTAAGCTAGCGGAAACTACTCTTCCCCGAGAGAAAGAGACTTAGATGTTTGTAACAGTTGGGATGATATCCGAGGTGTAAACATATTGAGTGAGGAGAGAAAGATAGATACCCAGAAAAGGAATGACGTTTTGTTTATATGCAATGAGTCCTCATACTTGTAGCCTGAAATCCAATTGTGATCTTTGTGCCGAAATGAGTTGGTATCGTCGTCTGGCGAACGTTTCTTATTAGATCGAGGTTGAGTTTCTTGAGAGCCAAGAGAATTTTCTTACCGTTCTGCGACGCACACAGACATATCGTAGTATGAGTGAGAACTAGCATAACAACGATCCAAATACAGATCTTAGAATGTGGTAACAATGTTTTTTTTTTAGTATTTCATTAGCATGTGTTCAGAAATTCATGCAGTAGATAAACGAGACTATTGTACTCATAATATCTCACTTCATACACTGTGATCTGTAAATTGTCACTAGCTTTCGATCCGTATCGTCATGAATCATTACTCCACATGTCCCGTGGTCTGTAGAAATTCACCGTCAAGTCATCAACGCAATGTGCTTCAGTTCTCTGTATCATGATCAGTACCAAATTGATTTTGGGAGGGATGTGTTGACGTACGCCTGTACTTGGTGTCCAACCTTCATAGGGGGGTACTCAGCCTCCCGCCCTTCGTCACTTCCCAGTTCCTTCTGGCGCTCCCTGACTTCCTTCGCTCTCGCCGCAAGCTTAGGTACAGGTGTCAGGTCAACGTCACTTCCCAGGTGCCAGAACAGGGTACTTGAAATCCTGACAAGAGGCCTGTCAGGGAATTCGCGCTTCCTCCTCTCGATTGTCTCGATAGTCTTATCGTTGACGATTACTTCATGGAAACCAGCCTTGATGAGCCCGCCGGTTATGTGCTCGAGCTGTTTGCCCGCCTGGACTAATAAGTAGTTCCCGGGCGGGATCTTTACTGCAATCCGATTTCCAGTGTTGCGAGCCCAAATGTGAAGACCGGGGTAGCGGGAGCGCCCATGAATGGTGAGAAAGTTGAGGTCGGTATGGAACCCAGCGAGGATGGTATCCTTCTGGCCATACTTGGTTAAATCTGAAGCTGTGGGAGCAAGCAGGTGAGGTCTGTGGAGCGTGTGAGTCTAGAGAACTGTCATGGAAGTTTATAAGAGGAACAAACCCATATTTTCCAGCATCACTGAAGAACTGAGCCGGCAAGTCAAGGCCAACAGCAGTCATTTCTGCAAGTTTGGAGACACTGCATATCCAATGATAAGCACTGAACTGGTCAAGCGTGAGCAGCTCGGGTACTTACGAGCTCTTCATAGATGTTCCCCATTGGTTCATGGCCGGTTCCCAACGGTCCTTGATGTGAGAGGCTTCAGGCACAACGTTTGCGGCGTTCAATCCAGGGAATTCAGTCTCGAAAGGCGGCTGCTCCCCCATCCTCCAAAAGAACCTGCATTTTGGATCAGGAGAGTGTGCTGTGATGTCCAGGGGTCTTTGCGATGGGTCAAGTCTCTGGATGACATCCAAGCAAGGCTCATCGACTGCACACTTTGGCTTTTCGGTGTTTTCTAGGGTGACACCAATCTGATAGCTTAGCTCAGGCTTCTCATCCTTCTTGAGAATTTCCACGGGCTGTGCAAAGTAATCTTCAAGAATGTCGAGGAAAGTTGAGTTATCTTTTTCTGAGACGCGGCTGTCGTGAAGTACAAGGGCTCCGTAGGTGATAAGGGCACTGGCTGCTTTGCGACATTCTTCCTGTACGGCCTCCGAGTCGACAGGATTGTTGAGGTAGACATCGAGGTCGATCACAGGCAAGTTCATCGAGGGTTCTGCTGAGATTGAATCCATCTTGTTGTGCGTAGTATTGTAAGCTGACTGGTCGATAAGCCAGTTGGTTCTTCTTACCACCTGTTGACGGATTATACCACGGATATATATACGAGGAAAAAAGGAAGAGAAGGGAAAATTTAGCGGCACAGCAAAACCTTCGTCTCAGGGTCCCTCTTTCGGAAGTTGTTGCGGATTGAATGTGTCTATGTGATAGAATTGTAAATTACTCGTGTCCTGATTGGTTAACATCTTGTGGTCTTGAGGCGGAGTTGGCCGGTTCCCGATGGTAACTCATTGTGAGGCCCGGAGTTGAACGGATTTGGACGGAGTTGGGACTTGATCCAAGCGGATGCAAAGTCTTGCTTGGTCCCTGACTATCGGGTCATTTTGGACATGCCATGACTTTGCCTAGAATGTGTGATGACGGGCGCTTAATGCGTATGTGTAGAAATGACTTTTGGGTCCTTGTACGAGCTATCCGTAAAGAAAATACCATTCGCGACATCCGGGCAAGTCAAATATATACGAAGCAACAAGCCCTGAGTATGTCGTAAAGCAACCTGATTAGAGCAATTGCATATCAGCCCTTATATTGAGAACAGTCAAATAATCAAGATGAATGTGCAGAAAGTTGCGGTATGAGCCGACTGGTGTTTCTGCTATCTTTTGTCGTTTGTTTATCATCAGCTCTACTCTCATGTCCTTCAAACTTGACTTGTAGCTTAGTGAAGGCGCTCGCCGAGTCAGTAAGTTCCTTCTCGAAACCGATGCGACGAGAGAACATGGCACGGAGCACATCTAACCTTTATGCAGGAAACAATAATGGTTCAATGAATCTATTTCCACGTATCGCAGGAAAACTGGCCAGGCCATTGAGGGAGTGCCCTCCTCCGCTGGTAATATACGCCTCTTTTCTCTCGACCTTTCTTCAGTGCCTGCTTAAAATTTACCGCTACTGTTGTTCACGAGCGCTCCGTCTCCAATTCTCGCTCAGCCTGTTGGTAATACTTGGCTGTGTCAACACCGTGCTGGTTGTGGTTGACAAAGTTGAACCAGGGGATCGTGCTCAGGAACAGAGCAGAGTACCTGCTCTGCCGGGCAGCGACACCCTGAAGATGAGGGCTTAGTCGACTAACTCCATACAGAGGCTCTCCCTTCTTAACCTTGTCAACCATCTCGCGCATGTCCATCTGAATTTCGCGGGAGTTCTCAGTAGCACCGTAGAATCGGACTGTTCAGATTAGTTCAACATGTTCCAGCTGTCACCAAGACGGTGTAGACATACGGGCCGATCTTTGGTAGAAGTAGAGAAAACCGCCCAAGACACCGATGCCTCCGGCCAATCGCATAGCCTTAGCGAAACCACCTTTTCCTACGTGTGACGGGGCAAACTTCTCAAGAGCATAGAGGGCTGCAGGAGCGAAAGCGGCAGCGGCGGTGCCGGCGAGGTAATCGGAGGTTCGGGCATATCCAACGACTCGCTTGAAGTGACTGCTGAGGGTCAGCAATGCCCACAATCCAACAAATCCAGTTCATTCATCCGTATCGACCAGGGAAGCAGTTGTTTCAGCACGTGTCGTCGTCGCTTAGTATCGAATGAGCTTGGTTTACGTACGGGTCGTTGTCAATGAGCTATAACATCATCAATTAGCAATAGCAATTGTAGCGTCAATTACAACATCACTCACAGGGTAGTCAGTCTGGACGACCTTGCTGGTCCCGACAAAGGATGGGGTCGCCTGCTTGGTCGCGGTCTCAGCCATTGTGTGGTGCGTCGTCCGTGACAATTCCTTGAATACTAGCACCAAGCCTTTCGAGGTCGTCGGTTTCTGATACACTCAGAAGCTGAGTTCCAGTCTTGATGCCTCAGGATAAATCACGTGGGGTCAGCCGAGCATGCCAGTAATTGGTCACGTGTCGTGAGGTGGACCTGCAATCAATTAAACTCACGACGCGTCTCCCTACAAGACGCGTCTAGCAGTTGAGTTGAGTCTATCTACACAGGTACTTACTGACATACCCACATTGCTGATCAGATCTTATAACACAGTCAATCTCACAATGCCAGCATTAGACTCCGACCCAGCCAACGGCTTAGACAACTACGACGTCGCTGACCTGTCGGACGATCCTTTCGCATCTCCCCCACCTGAAGCATTCAACAAGAAGCGCAAGGAACCAGATTCGGGTCTTGGAATTGATGAAGAGGTTGATGTCAAGAAACGTGCCCGAGCTCCCAATGTCAAGCTTGATGAAGAAAGGTTTGTAGATAGTTGGATTCCCAGTGGTATACAGATAAGACTAACAAAAGCAACAGGCTACTTAGCGCTAAAGGAATACCCAAACTAAGGCAAAGAGCACGAGACCTGAAGATCAAGGGCAAAGGCCATGAGGTATTCAGACGTCTAGAAATCGATCGAACCGAGTTGTGCTAATTTTGGTTCCAGTTTTCAGATGCCTCGCGGCTCCTATCCTTCTATCAGTTATGGCTTGATGACCTTTTCCCAAAAGCCAAATTCCTCGACGCTTTGAGCATGGTAGAAAAAGCAGGCCACAAAAAGCGAGTCATAATTGCACGCAACGAATACGTCAACGAGAGTAAACCCAAGGATACTGTGGCCGACGATGAAGGGGAAGACCTCTTCGGTCAGGATAGCATTTCGAGACCCACGGATGAAGCGATGAGACCAAGGACGCCAGAGCAAGACCGAGACGTACCAGATGATGACGATCTATATGACGCGACACCAAGGCCCTCTCGGCCAATTGTGCCTATCCGGAACGATGTCCCTGAAGAAGACGATCTTGAAGCCCTAATCGCAGAGGCAGAGGGTCAAGACAGAGCCCAGAAAGCGAGGCCTGCACAAAAAGAACCCGACGAGGATGATCTGGACGCATTAATGGCCGAGGCAGAGGGACAGGCGATGACGAAGAAACCAGGTCCGCCTCGACAAGATCCCAATGAGGATGATCTGGATGCTCTCATGGCAGAAGCTGAGAGTCGAGATCAGACAATAAAGAGAGATGGGCAGATACGGATAGGGAACAGCAAAAGCATGAACGCCTACGAAGACGATGAAGCAGCAATGCAGGAGATAGATGGGCTATGGTAGTTCCTAGAAGAATGGCGTCAGGCGTTGGAACATTAAAGATGTGCCAATCGTTATTGCATTTTATGGGATACGAGCCACAATCGTTATGTCGAGCTGTCCAGGCGTTGTTTTGGGACAGATAAATTGCCTAGGGTAGGCACATACAGCTGACAAAACACTTTCAATAACGAACAAGAGTGATAGTGACCTTAACAGTAGTACCCCAGAATTAGGTCAGGTGCCATGTGTAAGAGCGAAAGCATATTGTAGACATATCTTTATTTGCTACAAAATGGTCAAATGCTTCTAGAGACTGGCCACCCATGCATAACAAGTCGAGATGTTCCATCTCACATTATGTGTTAAGATTCATACACACAAACGCCACCGGAGTTACCATGAAGGCAATTTACCATATCAGCCCTGTGTGTCCATTCAGCTAGCAAAGTTGATTTCTCAATCACGGCATTGAAAAAAGACAGAAACACAAGTGTAGGGGAAAGATGATGACGATCATGCGCTTCTTTGAGCGGTTCATTGTATTTGTTACAGAAGACCTATCTTGTAGGTTCTTTACCGGTCCCTCCTGGGACATTGATCCTTTACGCCTTGCACCACCATTAGGTTTTCAAACAAATAAACGTAAGCACATTACAACAGGTCATCATGAGGCAGGCCCTCACGATTCTGTCCAATTATTCTCTGCCTCCGAAATAACTGGCGAAACAGATTTTTTGGTTGGTTGGTGTCTGTGTGATGGAGAGCGAGTCTGCGGGTCGAGAGCTCGGCCATTGCCACGTTCAAGTCGACGTTCTTCTGATTGTATTGTCCACAGAATCGTCATCAGTAGTTCACGCGACGGCAAAGCCATGTTAGTCAAATATCCTGTCAACACGTCTTGGCCGCGCGATCCGTCAGTTCCGCGCCTCAAGACCTCGACCCTGTCCTCGCATCTCTCAGACACCAACCGCAATGCCACCAACGTCGCATCCTTGAGTGGACGCGCCAGGATGGGGCTGCTGGATAGGATTTTCCGAAGAGACTTGATTCTCAGGTTCATAGATCTTGGGCTCGAGGCCCTGGATCGCAGCGGCGAAGTCGCTCGTTGCCATAGATTCTGATGAGATGGCGCTGTCGTCGTTGAGCCAGAGGCTGATGTCGAAGTCGTCGTTGAGGTTGAACGCGGGAGTGTCACCAACCAGATTATCGTCGCCAATAATTGAGGAGTCGGATGAAGAGAGATACCCGTTTTCAAGGACATAGCGATCTGCGTCAAGGGACGTTGGCAGAAGGTCAGAGTTGCCAAGGCTGAAAGCAGCATCGCCTGGAAGGGCGGGAGCCAGGCCGAGGTTGGCGGCATCGAGGTTGGCGGCGCTGGGAACGACTTGAGCATCTCCGCCGACTTGTGACACTGCAGGTCAGACAACATCGCGGCAGGACGTTGTGTCAGGTCGGGAGAGGTGCTTTCAGTCAGTTCCGGCTTGGCCTCATTCGATGGCTCTTGGTCGGCAATCTCTTCAGAACATTCAGCCACTGGTGACAGAACAGGGGAAAGTGCTGTGGGATCGACGGTGGTGTTGGAAGACACTAATGCGTCGATAGGTTCGTGCGTGTGCTGGGAGCTAAAAAGCTCCTGTGATAGTGAAGGATTGACTCGGAAAGAGTCCAAAACCGAGGGGGAGTATGAAACGGCTCCAGACCGTCGGATCTGCTCGAGTTCCATCATGAGTTTAGCGTTGGCTTGTTCGGCCGCCATTACGGCTTGTTCAAGTTCCTCATTTCTCTTCTCGAGAGCCTCGACCTCTTGTCTCTTGCGTTCACGAGAAGACTGAGCAGCGCGGCGATTTCGAAGAACGCGCTCAACGCGGCGCTGCTCTTTTTCGTCTTCAGTCTTTGCTCGTTTTCTGTATAGTGTCAGTTGGCTTGGCTTAGTGACGATATGCCTCAATATATCACCATACCTAGGGGGAAGATTTGTCTTGGGCTCGGGAAGGACTTGTCCCCACGACTTTCGCTTCTTGGTTGTCTTCTTCTCAGGGGCAGGAGATGATGATGGCGTTGACATGTCCTCCTCTTGCTTGATCTGAGGAAGGGATGAAGGGATTTGGTCGTCTGTGAAAGACTTAGGGGTCATCATCTCCATTGGGTTCATTGTTGAAGTGGCACTGGGGGTGGTGACGTCGAACAGCGATGTGAAGCTGTCCCCTGGAATTGACATGAGAGACTCGGCGGGCGAGTGTTGAAACTTATCGATAGGCAAGCTTTGTTGGTAGTCCATTTTGGGTGGGTGTTGTGTGATGTGTGAAAGAGGCAGTTGTGGATGTTGTTGATGATGTTCTCCAATATCAGATATCCAGTGGGAACAGATGAGATATTATGGGGATGGCCGTTAGTATTAGAGTTGCATAAAGTGCAGGCAGCGACGTTCCACCACGAGAATCACAAGACTCGATCAAGTAAGTGTGAGTCAGGGACTAGGCTTGATTGTCGTTGCCTTGTCAAAGGTGATGAGTCAGGCAGTGATGGCAATGGCAATGACGAAAGGGTGCACTCCAAGAGGATGTAAAGGACAGACTGTTCACTTGACAAAACGCTCTCTTCGTGACCAGTCGCTGAGTGTCGGTTGGCTTGTGATTTCAGGACAAGTTGGATGGAGCGGACAGGCCCTCTTTATCTCTTGAGGACACGTTGAGAGTTTGGAGGGGCACAGCTCGGTAGATCCAACAGCCTGAGGCATCAACCCCTGAAATAACACCCCCTGAACGTGTTTTGGGGACCCAAAGGGGGAAGGTGGCTCGGAAAGAACCCTTTGGGTGCCGGGATGTGCTTGCCTCGCAAGCCAGCCCAGCCCATACTAGAACAGGCTCCAAGGGGGGCGCAAGACAAGAGTCAAAGAGGGAGGAGCCACCAAGCGACACGCAGTCTTACCCCACTGCCATTAGGGAAGGGGAAGGAAGGAAGGGCTGAAGGGGAATGGAAACACTCAACGCAACTAACTGCAGGGGGAGGAGAGGGCTTGGGATGCTCTCCACAATATTGATGTCAAGTTTTGATTGGCGGAATACGATTGTCACAGCGCTTTCGGAGATCCATGGACCGTTCGAGTTTCCAAAAAAAGGGGGTTGATCAATCGGAAGCTGCGAGACGCCCGCCGTTAGTAGACGGACACGGAGGCTACACTGAACTATCTACCTTTGTAGAGACGAGACTCTGTTCTTCCTTCTTTGTAGAGTAGTAGGTACTAATCATAGCAAACGGACCTAGTTGCTCCATGCGCCTCTATTTGATCATGGTGCGACGAGTTTCTTTGCACTTGTGGCAAACACATGAGTACTGAGGTTGGTCGACGCGGCGACAATTAGAGTGCTCCCGTATTTCCTTTGCTACGTTACGCACGCTACGCCATGTCCAATAAGAACCGCACTGATATGAATCAACACAACATCAAAAGTCAAGTTAAGAGCACGGAGGCTTTCTTTGTTTTTTATGATTCAAGACGTGTTTCCAACCCCTCTTTACCAAGCAAGACCAGCCTTCGGGAGCTTACCCAATAGGTCTGCACAATGACGAGATCGCCTCATCCTCCAAAAACGGAAACCAAGGAATATGAGCGAAGGAGGCCAAAGGAAATGTGTACGACCACACTTCGCACTGTAATTAGGTGGCCCGTCACCCCCAAAAAGAGGCATCATACTGTACAAACACAGTCAGCCTCTGTAAGCTCGTAAGCTCTCCACAAAGGCCGAGTTGATCCCCACCTCTCCACCCGAGCCACGCCAACTCGACCGAGGGAGAGAGAGTTAATGCAGGGCAGTGACACTATCGATGGTGACGAGAATTGTGGTCAACAAGGGAGACAACATTTCATCACCATGAACTTGCAATTCCGAATTATTAGATGCGTCCCAAATATCGATTGGTATGTGACCACAAGAAGATCAACATTCGTAGGCATTCAACTTGCAAACCAAGTTATCAAGTCAGCCATCAAAACCCCAAGCAACTAACTGCTTGTAGGTAAAATACCCTTCGATTTAATGTTAGGGGACGAGTGCTAACAAACACTTCGCACGATATCACCGAGCTCGACCGCCTTTCACTGGGCATGCCATCTATGCGTATGCAGATGCAGACCTCGTAAGACGACGTCGTCTCTTTGCTCTTTGATCCCGATCAGCGGTGATATCTTGAGTTAGATGGATGCAGAGAGGGCTGACGCTGACCGACCTACCGACCAAACGACTCAGCAGTGCGACAGTGGACCTTCTCATGCGTGTTCCAATAATAAGAGAATCTATCACCGGCCATACCGGGGACGTATCCGTCAACACCAAAAAAGCCCACCATTACTACCACCTCCTCGTTTTGTTTCGCTGGCTACTATTAGCCTTGCTGGCTAAAAATGTCTAGAATCTCAAAGATATCCACCAGAAGCCCCGTTTGCCATCATTGACTGAACCGCACCCAACTCGATTTGTTGGATGTGGGAAGTGCAGTCTTCATTGCTCGCCGCAACCAGGACAATCACAGTCTTAATATTAGGATTAGTTTGGCTTTGGCTTGCGCAGGCACTGATATCACATTGCCCAGATAGATGGGCATCGTAGCCTAACAGATGAGATCCGATACGTATGATAGGTATTTAACCGAAGTATCGGGAATGCCCTTATCCCAATACCCGCACTAAGATTACCGACAACCGTAACATGCGTCAATCCTACGCCATTCGATAAACATGTCGCCATTTATTAGTTCCGCCTGGTGTTTGGGACTAGTTACTATGTATGTCCGTGAGCCAAACAAAGAATAGCTTTTCAGCTTCGACTTTCCAAGCCTCAATACCCCATCAGTATTGAGAAGCTACAGATACATACCTTAGTACCTTATTAGGCAGGGAAACAACCAGCTCTATGCTTTCTATGACCGCCAATTCACCAAACATCGGTCAAGCTCTCTACCCCATCCTGCAATGCATCTATCCATCGGGTTCCATCCCCGGGGCTTGGAATGCGAAGCTACAT